GGGCTCCCCTCCCCAGAGTGGCGCCCTTTCCCGAGGGCAGGGCTGGTGCTGGGGGCACCCGCCTTAGCGCCATCTCCCCGGGAAGACCGGGGGGCCTCCCTTTCCTGGGCAGCCAGGGACCTGGGCTGGCTCTCCCTCCGCCTTTTGCCCCCTGCCTGGCAAACCCTAGCCTCGGAGGGAGTTTGGCCTGGGGGACCCCGGATTTGTCAGCAGTGAGGGGAGGCGGGGTGCTGAAGAGACGGGTGGCCCCGGGGGGGGGGGGGGGGCTTGGAACTCTGAAGCCATGCGACTGTCAGCTATGCTGCTGCCATGGGGGGGGGAGAGTTCATTCTGTGTCTTGTTAATTGCTCTTGCATTCCTATCCCTGCTGCTCTGCCTTTTGCTGAAAGGCTTATCTCTACAGATGTGCAGGAGGAGGTTGTGTTGCCTGGAGGGCTCCTATGTACCCTGAGAGACTCCTGGTTCCCAGCTTTAGCCACCTAACGGTTGCCTGACTTATCCCGCGCGCGGGAGGGTGCCTAATTGGCCAATGCCATGGGGGGGTGGGGGGTGCATACAAATACCCTATATCCTATTATGCTCTAGTGGCTGGGGCCATTCCTAACAGTGCCTGTGTTACTGCGTCTGCAGCTTTGCAATACAAGTATAACCGTTCCTGAATGTGTGTACTTCGTTGTTAGCTGTGGGTCCTGACAGCGACAGGCTGGGGTGTCTCATTCCCTAAATATCCCAATGTTTTGTTCCCCCCCCCCTGCTGTGCCTGGTGCCAGAAGTAAGACACAAGGAGGGGGAAAACCTGACCCAAAAACTAAAATCAAGAACCGCGAGGGTAAGAAAGAAGTCTGGTAAAGGGCCAAGATTAAATGCCTCGTGGACCCTTGTAATGTACAAAAATAGATGTGTTTATTAGGAAGGCAGTTAAAAACATACAAGGGGCCCCATGAAAGCCTCGTAAAAAAGTAAAGGTGGCTTAAACACCGGGGCCGATACACCTGACCTGACGCGTTTCCACCCTATTGGGGGCCTTCTTCAGAGGTCAAACAGTATTGAGGTACACGTAAGTTTAGTACATATTACAATAAGATAACCTATAAGTGCATACTGGACCCAGAAAAGGAAGGTTAAGCAGCAAGACCTAAAGACACAAGACAAAGATGTTTGTGAGGCCTCAGAAGATGAAAGTCGTGTGTCTGGTGCCAAAGGCTTTCCTTTTTTTTACGAGGCTCTCATTGGGCCCTTATATGTTTTCAACGGCTTTTCTAATAAATACATGTGTTTTTGTATATTATAAGTTCCAACTAGGTTTTCAATATTGGCCCTTTATCAGACTTCTTTCTTACCCTCGTGCCGGAAGTACCAGAACTTCAGAAGCGCGGGAGGGAGGAGTCGCTCCTTTACAGGCAGGCGGAAAACGGGTACCCGGAGTGTGACGTTCTCCTCGGGCGGAGAGTCCCAGGAAAGCTCAGTTCGAGTCCAGGAGCATCCTGGAGACCAGTGTTCCCTCTAAGCTGAGTTAGTGTGAGCTAGCTCACAGTTTTTTAGCCTCCAGCTCACACATTCTTCTCTTAGCTCAGGAAGGATGGGGCTCCAGAGCAAACTAGTCTATGCAGTATGGCCAAATCCCTCGCTCACAACTTTAACGCCAGTAGCTCACAAAGTAGAATTTTTGCTCACAAGACTCCACGGCTTAGAGGGAGCCTTGCTGGAGACCCGCAACATTTCCAGGGTGTCAATTTTCGAGAGTCAACGCTCCCTTCATCACATGCAGGAGAAGCAGGGGGTGGTCTTCCAACAGGGCAGCAATCCCCCCCTCCCAGGCAATACGGGCACCCTCTCCTCTAAGCTAAGGATTACAATATCGGCCATTCTATTTCCAGTCCCTTAGCATGGAGCCCATTTTTTTTTACCACTGCCTCTGTCCACCACAACCCCAAGATCTCGTTCAGTCTCGGTCAGTTCAGACCCCGTCCGTGTGTATTTAAAGCAAGGGGTTTGTTCTTCCCTGTTCCCCCCCCTTTTACGCTGACTGCCACTCGCCCAGGGGTCTCCCTCTCACCCTCGGAGCGGCTCCCGCGTGGCTCCGTCAGCCTCCCCTTCCAGGCAGGGGTGAGGTCCACACATCCCATTCGCGTCACCTTTGCCATCCCATTCAGTGGCCCCAGACGAGAGGAAATGTGACTGCGCTTATTAAAGAAACACACGAGAGGGCGTGCCTCTCCGGCACCCACGCCTTGGCCTCCTTCGTGTTCTTGCCCTGCCAGCCTCTGAGGCCGCCCGTGTGTCATCCCAAACAACACCTTGGCCTTGATTTCCTTTCCCCTGAATCTCTCCTCCCTCTCGGCGCAGTGCCTGATATTTTGCTGGAGCAGGGTGTGGCCCGTGGAAGGAGTGGCCGGTTGTGTTTTTGTTTTCCACAAGGACATAAGAACCTAAGAGAAGCCAGTGTTGGATCAGGCCAGTGGCCCATCCAGTCCAACACTCTGTGTCACACAGTGGCCAGAAACACCAGGGGCCACCAGGAGGTCCAGCAGTGGGGCCAGGACATTAGAAGCCCCCTCCCACTGTCCCATCCCCAAGCACCAAGAACACAAAGCATCCCTTGCCCCAGACCGAGAGTTCCTATCTATACCTTGTGGCTAATAGCCACTGATGGACCTCTGCTCCATATAAGACCATGAGAGAAGCCCATGTTGGATCAGGCCAACAGCCCATCCAGTCCAACACTGAGTCAGAAAGTGACCAAAAATACCAGGTACCATCAGGAGGTCCCAGCAGTGGGGTCAGGACACTAGGAGCCCTCCCACAGTTGCCCCTCCCCCCATGCACCAAGAACACAGAGCATCCCTTGCCCCACACCGAGAGTTCCTACCTATACCTCATGGCTAATAGCCACTGATGGACCTCTGCTCCATATAAGACCATGAGAGAAGCCCATGTTGGATCAGGCCAATAGCCCATCTAGGCCAACATTCTGTGTCACACAGTGGCCAAAAATGCCAGCTGCCATCAGGAGGTCCAGTAGTGGGCCCAGGACATTAGAAGCCCTCCCACTGTTGACCCCCCCAAGCACCAAGAATACAGTGCATCCCTTGCCCCAGACCAGGAGTTCCTACCTATACCTCGTGGCTAATAGCCACTGATGGACCTCTGCTACATATAAGACCATGAGAGAAGCCAATGTTGGATCAGGCCAATGGCCCACCCAGTCCAACAATCTGGGTCACACAGTGACCAAAAATACCAGGGGCCATCAGGAGGTCCAGCAGTGGGGCCAGGACACTAGGAGCTCTCCCACAGTTGCCCCCCCCCCCAAGCACCAAGAAGACAGAGCATCCCTTGCCCCAGACCGAGAGCTCCTACTTATGCCTCGTGGCTAATAGCCACTGATGGACCTCTGTACTGATGGACATCAGAAGAGCCCTGCTGGATCGGCCAGTGAGGAGGCCACTAGCCCGGCAGCATCCTGCCTCACACAGTTGGCCACCCAGTTGCCCTGGAAGGCCAACGAACAGGGCACCGAGGCCCTTTGGTGTAGTGGTTAAGTGCGCGAAGTCTAATCTGGGAGAACTGGGTTTGATTCCCCCACTCCTCCTCCACTTGCAGCTGCTGGCTCCCTTTAGTAACCTTGGCTACCAGCTGCTGCTGGGCCTCTCCTCCGTGAATCTGTCTAATCAAAGTGGCAGTTTCTGATCGGGTGTGTCCAGTGACCTCTGGGCTGAGTTCCTTTCCCCCGACCTTCCTTTTTAAGGTCTCCTGTCTGACCTTCAGGGGTCGAGGAGGGTGTAGCCCCAGGAAACCTTGATACCGGTGTGGCTTTCTACACCGGATATCCTGAAGCTATGACTGGTGGTTTCTTTGTTTCTTGGCTTTTTTTACAATAGCCGTAAAACAGGTTTGGAAAACCTGGGATGATGACAGGAGAAACAATGGAATGCAACCAGGCTACAGATGACGTCATCTGGATTCTCCCGCACTGGAGCTGCTTTTGAAGTGGTGATTCTGGACTGGCCTCCCTAGAGTAGTCCTTGTAGGAAGGGTTCCACATGGGCCTCTCTTGCGGCTCAAGTCGCTTCTGATTTGAAATCCTTAGCTTTGAACCTTCCTCAGGCCTGGATGAGACCAGACAGTTGCGTCTTCTCTCACACCCACCACCCAGGCAAGAAAACCATTAGAAGTGTCGCCACGTTCTCTGATTAAGTCTCAGGAGAAGAGTTTGTGAGTCAGTCCTTGTGACTGGGAAAGTTCCATGTAAAACATGCTGCAATTACGAGTGGATCTCTTATGGACC